GCTTGCCTTTGGTTGCTGTTGTATCTGACATTGACATATATATCTAGATCAGTAAGATCATTCTCCTATCTTAATTTCATTATAATTCTGGATAGAATTAAGGATGATGATTCCTAGAATATCCCTATAGGCTTTACTTTGTCATTTGCAACATAACCGATTTTAGTAAAGGATGTGGTTATTTGCAACATCTAGGTAGTAATAAAACAGTGATATATGAATCTCTTGCATGTGATTGTTCTTGCTGTATATTTGGGGTTTTGCTGCATAGTATACTGACATTAGACTTACAGCTTGTAGACTGTCAGATTGTCATCTTGTTCTGCACCTTTAAATTCCACCCGCATTTTTTTTTCATTTCATGGCTGGTTTACAGAGCAGCTCTAATGGCTTGTGTATTTATTAGAGAGGCTTTGAAAGAGCACCTACATGGTTTAAAGGCATGCATACAGCAGCACAAAATTCATTACCCTGCACCACATGCTGACCATGATAATGCAAAGGAGATTACATATATTTTCCATGGCATAACTTTTAGGGTTGTCCAAACAAAGTCTTCAGGTTTGGGTTGTTTTTTGTTTCTTGGGGTTTTTTTACCCTTAGAATCGAGTTTTGTGAAATCTTTGCTTGTGCAAGAGACTCTCACTGTTGACCTAATTTGAACCCTGTCTTTATTATCTTAATGTTTTCTCTAGCAGTCACATGCTGGCTTTAAAGCCCCATTATCCAGATGCACGCTTTGGTGTCTCATCTTTTGCAGGAGTGGGAATAGTTAGACTTCCATGAGTTATCTCAGCACCTGTGGTGTGTCTTTCCAGAAGTATCATTTGTGTTTGCCTCTGTCCCTTCATCCAAGTCCTTCTCTAATCTGTGCTGTCTTCTGCCCACATATTTTTAGTCCATTATATTCACTGTGAAAGTTATTGCCATAACCAGTTAGCTGGCCTGTCTGTGAGTATGGTAAGTCGGACAATTCAGATAATACTTCTCTCACTGACAATAACTGTCTGCATGAGGTCTTGTACCCTCTTCTGAAATAAAGTTCTTCTTTCTGAGGAAAAGTGATTCCCTTGAAAGATGGGGGATCGTGGTGAAATTTTTTACAGGCTAGCTAATCAAAATCGGGCTTTATCTTTCAGTTTGTATTATAGCTTCTTAAAATATAACAGCAGGTTTCATGGAACTCTAGAACAGTCCGAATTAAGTCCTAGACTGCTTTTGTTTTTCCCTTGCTGCCTTAAGTAGTTTTAAACATTATTTTAGAATGTAACAGAATTCCAATTTAAAAATAGGGCTCGCAACAGATCAGATGTGGGCTGAAACTTTTCAGCTTTTTAAGGGGTCATGAGACAGCAGCACTGCCCTGATGAACTTCATTATGCCATATGAATATAAAATATTCATATAAAGGGAGATTTGCAAAGGCATAAAGAAAAGGCACTTATTTTTTCAATGCATCTGCAAGTCTTAAATCTTAGTCTTCTATTTTAAAGTTACTTCTTTTGTGTTAAGATTGCAGATTAAATGTCTTTGAAATGTGTAAATTTGTGTATTAAAAAAATAATTTTGTGATCCAATCTTGAAATATATGTGAATTATCTAATATTACAGATCAAATTAGATTCCTCATATAGTCACGTTGTGCACACATTTAGACCATTTGCAATGCCATTATCTTAGCCTTTGTTATGCATTTATAGGTGGAGAGGGGAATGATATATAGTTAAGGTGTTGACGAATCCAGGCCTAAATTCTAATTGTTGGAAACAGCAAGTTTAGGAGTTGATGGGTTTATCAGGACAAGTTATTATAATTGTTTTACATGTGAGCAAGACCATTCATTTCACAAAATACCTGCAATTCTTAGCATGTCCCCTCATGTATAATGTCATCCGTCAGTAAAAGCAGAGCTGATTAGCTTTATAACTCACAGTTAACTAAATCTGTCAAGAAAATGGTCTTATTGTCCAGCTTGTCTTTTTGTAATGAAGCTGTGGATGGGGGTTAGCAACAGTGTGTTCACCCTTCTGGAGGTCATGGAGGATGGAAGGTACTAATGCATTCTAAGCTGAAAAGCTCACGCTTGACCTTGATGATTAAAGTTTTCCTATCATCTAGCAGCAGTTGAGCCGGAATTGGCTCTTAAGAAGTCAAAAGGTCTAATCAACCTAATGAACAAACTCAATCATTAGTACTTTGGGGAAGGAAGTGTGTTAACATGATAATAATACTGGGCTCCCCCAGCTGCAATATGTGTGTTTATAGGAACGGTACATAGCTCGATTGTAAGAGGAGAAGCTGGTGTCATTGTGCTGGAGGTACAATGGAGTAGAGGAAGCTTCTGTTTGTCAGGGCGTAGTTCTTTCCACAATGTTCATACTCTTCTCTGGCCATGGGAGAAATTTTGGGTTCTCATAGACTGTAGAAAGGGTTGCTTGTTTCATTTAAAGTGTTTTGTAAGTGAGGCTTAAATGAAAGCTAAACCTTCCTCTGGTGAACAAATTCTCTGATCATGGACTAATCTACGCTTTTCTTCATGTATTGCTCCCATCTCTTTTCACATTCCAGATTGTATCGGTCAGACATAAATATTTTTCAGGCATCCTTTATTATGTTCTGGTAGCCGAATTTGATGGGAAAGCCTTTTTTATACTGGTCAAGTAGACATTACGTCCTGTTGTTTGTTGTGCCGTTTCCTAGGCCCCGCTGGGAAAGTGTTTGTCGCTGCACATGTTTGTTACTACAGAAACTGCAATCTCCTAAGATTTTCTCTTACTAATTGTGGTGCTCTGTAGTATCCTGACTTTTACTTCCTGGTACCTGAGAGAGAGTATAAACAAATCTCAAGTGGGATGGCAATGGCTGAATATAATATATTAAGTTCTTGCATGGGGAGCTTATATTAGTCCAAATCGTCAGTCCCATCTCAAAATCAACCAATGGCTTTTTCCATTTGCCAAGTTACCTCTTGCTCAAAGTCTTGTTTTGACACTTCCATGTCATGCAGCAGTTCTGTCCCTCTCTGCGATCTACTAACATGAGTGTATGATCAGCTGTTAGTCATTTAAATGCATTAAAACCTTTCAGACAGTACATACCTTGATTTTTGAGACAGAACCTTTGTCATGGCAGTAGTCATTCTGTCATGGAGACTGTCACCAGTGTCTTGCATACCAGGCACATACTAGCCAGACCTGTTTTTCCAAACATTTTTCCTTTGTTTACTTTGAAACAAAGTGTCTTATGATTCTTTATCCTGATGAGAACAAAGCCACGGGGGGGGGGAAGTGGTTTTTGACACTCATGCTTCTTGCCTGGAAAGATTGTAGTGATTTGGCTTTTCCCTGTAAATACCTGCGAGAGTAAATCAAAGACAGGTTCTTATTTTTAAAATTAATTATCCTGAAATGGTAGTTGTCACATAAGAAACCTGCTTTCTTTTCCAAAACTATGGAAATTCATTGGCCCAAGAAAAAGGTGAAAGAAGCTATCCTAAAAGAGTGACTTCTTCCCTCTTTGAAAGAGACCCACCCTGTGCTTAGACAGTAACTTGTAATTGATCCTTTTCCTCATGTTAAGAACAATCTGTGACCTCTGGCATTTTTGTTGAGTGCTGGGTTAGAGGTGAGGCACATGGCGTATCATCTTGGTGATTCTGGTTGCCCATTGGTGGGCAGGAAGAATTTTATTACTGCAGTCTGATTATTTGAAGCCAAATAGTTCCTTCACTTTCCTCATAAATTGTGTCAAAAACTGATAAAACTGTTCACGCCATTTGGTTACAATGGCGAGGTCAGTTATGTCAAAGGACCAGCAATCAGCAGTGAGTATCAGCCATCAGGTAGATAAGCTCTGGGGTAGTACCAAACCTCAGTAGGAAATGTATCAATGAGTAAGTTTGATCGACTGTCAACTCAGGGAAAAAGGTGAATACCTACGGATTTTAAGAAATGCGAGTGTCATCACAGTTTGCCCAACATAGCTTTGAGGATTTAGTATCCTTTTAGTGTGGATTAGGTGTTAGAAGTCCTGGGGTCACATAGTGGCTTCCAGCATAAATTGGTGGGGAAAAACCAATATGCTTAAAGCAGTGCTGTGGCATGGGGTTTTTCTGAGCACAGTCATTTTAGTGGCCCTGTTATCCTGACTTTACACACACAATGGTAAATGAGATTGCTAATATAGAAAGCTCTCAGAAATTGAATGATACCACCCTTTTAAAGGGAGTGCTTTAAGGTTTTTTGCTATCTAATGTTGATTTTAAACACTCAACAGATGAAGAGTCCAAATATATTTTAATATGAGTATGAAAAAGCCTCCATATTAATTATACATCAGTATAATTTTATCATTCTTTGTTACTTTCCTGTTTTTAATTCAATAAATAGATTTGCTTCCTACATTGAGTATTTGTAGATTTAAGTGTGGAGGAAATTTGTGCCCTTATGGCAGATGCACAGCAGACTTCAGCATTAACATAACTCATTAAAATAAGATAAAAGTAGAGCTGCAAAACAATTTCTGTCTTTTGCCAACAAGGTTGTGAAAAAGGGAAATTTCGCTCATTCAATATATGAAAGTCTAATCTTTCTGAACTGTGGAGAGAACAGAGTAGACATTCCTGACTTGTTTGTGCAGATTAACTGGCTGGGTCTACTGAGGCAGATAAGCAGAATATACAAAATTCAGATGACTGTGTGTCATATTTTGGGGACATTAAGTAAAATTACCTTTTTGGATGATGAAAGCTCCTTCACCAGCAAAGCAAATGTGCATAAAGCAAATGTGTTTTATTTTGATGATACGCAATTTGCCAGTTTCCAACCTGTTTCTCAGTCACAGGATTGAAACCTGGAAATAAACTATAGTTTACTGAACGTTATGTAAGGCCTGCTTTATTTATCTATTTATTTTGGAAAGGAAGTAGATTAAATGGAGACAATGGATTCAAATGGATTCAGACAAAGCTTTTTCAGTGTTTAATGCTTTGAACTCTACAGGGTGAACCCATCACTTTTTGTGAAGAAACATTTGTGTCCCATCGTTCTGCTGTCATGAGGCAGTTTCTTCAGAATGCCATTCAGCTCCAGCTCTTTAAGCAGGTACTGGCTTAATTGCTCTAATGTAGAAGCAGATTCTTTAACAATACAACTGTTTTTTTCGAGGGCTGTTCCTATATTCCTTGATCTGTCAGCCACATAATGAGGAAAATTCATGTAGTTGGCAGCACCTTAATTCCTGCTTGCTGGCTTTTCTCAGATTCAGGTGATAAGGCTTTCTATATTTTAAGAGGTGTATGGGTTTTTTCCCCTCAAGGTCTCTGTGCTCAGTTTTGATCTGAGCGTACCTAGACCAAATGTATCTGCTGAAAACTTTGTACAGAAAGCATAATACTGTTAAACATGATATTACTGCTTCAGGGAAGCTGAAAACATATCTGTATAGACAAACGTTTGAATGCTGTTTTTTCAGTGAAGCAGCATACCTTTTTGCATTGGTAAACATTTTGCCAATTTTGGTTGTATTTCATTCTATTTAGAGTCCCTTCCTGATAAGAACATCGGGGTTATTCTAGCAAATGCAGAATAAAGTCTTTCTGAAAAGATAAAGGATGGGATGGTTGATTTGTTTACACTCTCTTTTAACATTAATGTAGTTCATTGATGGCCGTCTGGATCTGCTTAACTCTGGAGAGGGTTTCAGTGATGTTTTTGAAGAGGAGATAAATATGGGAGAATATGCAGGTAAGAAATACAGTATTTTAAAGTAATTTCAGACACTGTTCTTGACTTACTGTTTGTGAGCCATTGTGATGTAATGGGTCATTGTGGTTACTCACCTAAATAACTGAGGCTGCAATGATCCCTGTAGGTTGAAGTGTCTTAAATTTTTGTTCTTTCCTCTGTCAAGAACTTTGAGTAATGTATTATTGTAGTCTGAATAGTCTGTTCAGTCTTACAAAACCTCAGCTTTACCACTTGGCTAAAGTACAACTAAAAGAGTTCTTGCAATGGAGGATACTGAAAACCCTTGGCTTTACCCAGAACCACCTCATTTCTTTTAGCGATCTTTAAAAAAAAAAAAAATCTCAGTGTTCTCAAATGTCTGAAAGACAACCCAGATAAAATAGAAATGCCTCTTAGCAAGTAAAAGAAAAATTGTAGATATCTCGTCAATTTTTTGTTGTTGTGTTTCCATTAAAAGAAAAGGATGATTGTCCTGTTCTGTTTCTGTACTGTTCATGCTCCTAGAACCACTAAGTGCTAACACTTCACATTTCTGATGTGTTTTCTATTTGGTAGAGAGTTATAGTTGTTTGGTTTTGTGATTCTCTCTAGGTAGTGACAAATTGTACCACCAGTGGCTCTCTACAGTAAGGGTAAGAACACAATATTCTCCAACAGACATTCTCATTCTTACTGGACCATTGTACAGTTCTGTATGGCTGTTAACGCCTGTCCTCATGAACATGACTAACCTGTTTCCTGCAGTGTTTAGCTGTGACCAACTTGAGTTTGGTTGTTAGAAACCAATGCGCTCTTCAGACCAAGTAAGGAAGAGAAGAAAAAATACACTAAAAAAAAAAAAATCACCATAGGAATTCTCAAGTTTTTGAATCGCACTTTTAATGTCTTGGAGATGGCTGGAAATAAGTTATTGTCATTTTAGAAAATAATGTGGGTTTTCTTTACTTTTAATAGAAAAGGAAACAAACGGAACATTGCCACACCAAAAAGCTCTTCATAAAGCTAAATGGTGTGAAGTGCTGAATAGGGACAGCACTGTTTGGGATGTTTTTGGATCTCTTTGGTTTAGTGCTCTAGTTGTATAAATTAAAAATTTAAATACTTTTAGAAAATAAAACATTATTATAGCTGATTTTTAAAAGTCTCTTTTGATGCATAAAATGCGATGTATTGAAAAGTAAAATATTTGTGTTTTATGGGTATGAGTCAGTAGGAAAGATTGAATTGTTTTCTGACAGAATTCAGTTTTGCAGCTTTCCGTTTGCCTGTTGTCCTGGTTATGAATGGAATTATGTTCCTTACACAAAATGCTGGTCTCAATATTATGCTGATAATTTTGAATTAAACATATTTTATAACAGTAATGCAAAAAATCCCATCAAATAGTTAGTTAGGTAAATATATATATATATAAAAAGATATATAAATACATAGGATGACAAGTAATTCTAAAATTATAAGAAAGGGGAATGGCTGACAGTGATTATAAAAATATGTGTAATTAAATTGAACAGTATAATTTTTGTTGAAGATTAATTGTCATGTAGTAACAGAAGTAGTAAATCTTAATACTGTTTGCAAGTGATTGCATCTGATCTCTGGAAATATAATTTTGCATTGAAATAAGAAAATACAAAATTATCTAAGATTTTATTCCTTGGATTTTACCCATCTCCTGTATTTATCAAATAAGGTACTGTACAGCAATAGTCAATGGTGTGTGGAAGATGTATAAAACACCGACTAGACTAACAGATTATTCCGTTTGACATGTTACTGTCTTGTGACTTTTATTATGTTCAGCACATGTAATTCAGCTTTTCTAGAATTAATGTTTATGACTGTAGTTAGATTTCATTTTCCCTCAATTTATCTCTTTATCAACTACTTAGATCTTAAAAAGGCAGCATGCTTTTGATAAACAGTATTGTGGGATCATGAAAAGGAAAATAAAAGATCTTACTTCTTCAGGTTGAATACACAGGCTTTTCTGAAACTGAATTTTCTGCCCCAGACATTGAGTATTTGGTCAGATACTTTTGTCTTAAACTTGTTTAGGATTTTAATGCAATGTACAGAACACCCTTGAGGGCGAGTGGAACAGTCATAGAACACTCTTTTGTGAGATGACCTGTAAGACAAGGGCTCTTGGTATTAGGAGACACTGACATTTTTCATTTGAATACTGCTGTATTAAACAGAATTGGGATTCCTCTGGAAAACCAGAGAGCAGCATTTAGTATGTTTTTACTTGTGTTCTTTTTCTTTAAATTTACCATTTTAATACTCAGCTCTGCTAATAAGCATAGTTAATGCTTTGTTATTTTAAGTTAAGAATGGTGGAATTTAGGTTGCTGTTTGCTTTAAAGAGCTTTGATAAAATTTATTCTATTGTTACTATAATTATAGAAAGGAAGCGGAGCCATTTTAAATACAGTAAAGACCAAGGCTAACCCTGCCATGAAGACTGTCTATAAGTTTGTAAGTATCAAGTACTGGCTTACTACTGAGATAAGAGTCTAATTACAATTCTGTTATAACCTTTCAAATGAAACTCAAGACTTAAATTCATTTTTATTGGACTCACGGAATTACTTAAAATACGCATTCATCTAAATTTCAAATTTAAATGGAAAAGTCATTTTGAAATTTAAACAATTGAAATGCAAAGGGGAAGGGGAACTTGTGATTTTATTTGAAAGTATAGATGATAAATTCTATTTATTACATAGAACTACTTCTAGGAAATAGTGCCTATATGATCTACTAAGCAGCTCTACCATCTTGTCATTACTCTGTTGGAAATCATTGTTACCGCAGGTTTCTCTGCTTGCAGCTTCACGAAATAAGGGAATCCTCTCATTTTCCAAATTGTTTCCATCTTCTCTAAGTGTCAATTAATTTTCCCTAGAGATTTCTTATACCTGCTTATTTAGAGCTCAACTTACTGAGTTATTCTTTAAATGAAAATGTTTTCAGTTCTGTTAACAAACAGCTAGTATGTTACTGTGTTATCATCTATGCCTGCCAGTTTCACTGTGTAAGATAACGTAGAGACAAGTGAGGATTTCTTACAAGCTCAATATTAGGAAATAATGCTACAAAAAGCATTGAGAAAACTATGCAAACTTTTCTTTTCTCCTGCCTTCCTCCAACCTGAGAGATGAGTAGGATGAGATTAGCTCTACTAAATAGAACTGGTATCCAGAGTACTGCAAGGAGAAAGTTTGCAGGCTGACTATTTCTGTTGATTGTTAACTTATAGCAAAGATAAGTACTGAGAGGGGAAGATCGAGGGTGTGGAATGCAAAAAGATGAAAGATGTCTATGGCATCAAAACAGAGAAAATGAAATTTTTGCAACGAGTGTGTGTGGGTGGTTGTGGTGGTGTTTTTTGTTTGTTTGGGGGTTTTTTAGCTTTCTATTTGTTTTAGTATATTTTCAATATCCTGTTACAATTTTTTCCTTGACGTTTTTAGCAACTAGAGAAGGTGAATCTTGATGCACTGAAATCAAGCGTAGTCACTGCTGGAAATAGAAGGGGATTTTAACTTAAATTAATTTTTCATGCAGGCAAAAGATCATGCAAAAATGGGAATAAAAGAAGTGAAAAACCGCTTGAAGCAAAAGGTACTCGAAGTTCTTATTCAAAATGTATAAGCACCATGTATGAAATACTTAGCCACAAAAAGCATTATGTGATCAATAGGAAGCTGTTTGATACAGTGTTGTTAGCACGCGCACTTCAAAATGCATTACCAGCTGTCCCGGATTTTTCATACTGTTATAAATATTCACAGACAAAAAAAACTGTCTTCAAATACATTAAGGCTCTGACTTAAACCCACAAAAGCCAGGAAATTGAGTGTTCTATTTGGAGTGGTCCCTCTCCTGTCCTTTGTGCTGGGGCATTGTGGAAGGGGACTTTATGTGAACTGGGAGATCTTTCCTACAGTAAGGGCAGTGAACTTTTTGCAAATGGCAAATTGTTGTTATTTCTACAGCAATCTCACAGGGAAAATAGTATAGTGTTGGTCATTGGGAAAAGGATTTATATGTTTCACGAGTGTCTACTGCAAAGTTTAGGCATAAAGGAATTAAATTAGAGTTGGTGTTCAGTTCAAATTTGAATTATTGCAGAAAAAAATACTCAAACTGTTTGTTGTTTTCCAAATCCGTCTTTGTTTGTTTGTAAACTGTGCAGTTCCAAGAATGCTGAATTGTGTTTGAAGAATGTGTTATCCAATACTAATTGCTCCTTTTGAGCCAGAAGCATGGTCATACATACCTTATGAATGAATGGTTAACTCTGCCTTAGCTTTATTTCAGACACTCTATTTATTCTATGAAGCAGAGCTATTAGAGTCTTTTGGGAAAACAAGATAGCTAACATGCTAATAGAACTGAAGTTCTTATCAGAAATTTTTATTCAATTTGTTGCATAATAGTTTGGGGATTTTTTAAATCTGTGCTGTCTCAGTAAATTTCTTCTCTAAATTTCTAAACCATCATCTTAGGAATACATTTGCAGTGCTATCTTATGGCACAAACAGCAGTCTACCTGGACATGTTTAACAGTTGGACTCGATGATCTTAAAGGTCTTTTCCAGCCTAAACGATTCTATAATTCTATGTCAACAAAATGTTAATACAAAGGGATTGTTCTGCAGCCAGGTTACTAACTGATGAAATTAACTGTGTGTACAATCTAAATGCTGTTCGCTCTCTAAATACTCTAGCAGATTGCTAGAGATTTTTGAGGAAGATAAAGTTGCTTTAGATGCCTTTAATGCTATTTTATTACACTTCCTACTTTATATGTGACCACTTTATGTATAATATGAAAATATTAGAAAAATGAAGCAGTTTTCTTGTACATGGGGGGTTTTTTTATGTAATTCCATGTGTTTCACTTCTGGACAAAACCTTCATGAATAATAAAATGTTTGGTCTTCTCGTGTGCATTTACTAAAGCAGTTGGAGCTGTGTAAAATAACCAGATTGTCTTCCTATATTTTAAATGCTAATATAATTGTATGCTATTCTGTGATATTTGTATAAAAGGCTGAGAAATGTCTCGTTCATTCATTGCTTTGTTTTATTATTATTGTTGTCTTCCTAGTCCTTCAAGCAGCAAGCACTCTTTTTTAAAAAACACACATAACATTTACAAATAAATGGCCCAATTTTGTTTCACCTTCCTTATTATGTAGCATTTCTGTAACTAAGGTGGTTAAACATGATTGTTCAACATAAGAGCTTAAAAGATTTCTGAGTAGTTGACGCATACAGCTCTACCCCTCCTTTCTTCATTAAGTCTGTTCTTTTCCATCCCATCCTCTTCTCCATTTTGAATGCAAGATAGGAAGATAACTCTAAAAAGAGGTATTGCTCTGTTTAAAGTGATAAAAATAGCAAAAATTGTTGGCCACCCTCATATTATTTTTAATCTAAATGCCTGTGCTGCTCTGTTGACAAATCTATTAGTGCATACTCACCAATTTTCATGTGAGAACATTATATTTTTCATGTATTTACTTACTAGTATGTGCAAGTGTTAACCGTTTGAAATTCTGGCATCATTAAATACTTAATTTTGCCAAATTTGGCATGCTAGTCTTTCATCTTCTAAGGATAACCTAAGGTTATTTTTAAACTGAACTTACTATCAACTGCATTTTAACATATTGTTTTCCATTATTAATACAAAAAGTATGCAGGCCGCTGGTAAGGAAAAGTCAAATATAAACATCCCTTTTCCAGTTTTCGCTGCCAAATATGAGCAGCTTCTGTACAGGATAGAATTTAAAAATGCAATAAAGCTAGAGGTCTGCTTCCTACAACTCTGCATAGCAATGGTGACCTCTTAAATATAATCAAGAGCCCATTTTGCCCTTGGTCTGCTCCAGTCTTGGGTTTGAATTGCAAATGGGAAATGCAGGATTGACCTGTTGAGAGGTCACTGTGGTGTGTGTAAGGTCCTTCTTTAATATGATAGTAGAGATTGAATGTGGCTCTATTTCCATCCCTTGTTCATTTGTGGTACAGTATTTCAAAGCAACAGAAATAGTTTTCAGAGGATTCTTATGAGTGATAGCAAATAATTGTTAATAGATACAGCATGGTAGCTTTATTTTATATCTGATACAGTACTTTTTTCTTTTTTTCTTTTTCTTTCTTTCTTTTTTTTTTTTGTAAAGGCTGCTTTTTCCATTTCACAAATGGACCATGGTGGTCAAGTCACTCCGTTATTGGCTCGTTTGAAGCTTAACTACAGAGAATTAGGAAGAAGGAGGAATATGAATGGTACCGTCCTCAACTTTCAGTGGGGAGAATGTAGCTTACTGAAAGCTTATGGATAAGACAATTTATATAAATGGTTGGGCACTTGGCATTAATGTATTCAGCATTATTTTACTTATGAGAGCCCTGTGTGGCTCTAGTTAATGTCTGTCATCAATGGGCTGTTGTCAGTGCTTTATTATCAGTACAACTAGAAACAACTCATTTAGAGGTTTATAAAATAACCTGAAGAATCCTTCTAGACATTCTGGAATGTGTTTTTTGCTCTTCTAATGGACAGTATTTGTAGTCCATTACAAAAGGTCCCTAGAAAAATTGCTAATGCATATTTAAACAGAAGAAAACCTTATTCAGTTTACAGGGTAAACTTTACATATCTGTAAATATATATTTTATTCATTCTCTGAAGTTCCTCCTTTAAAATAAATAGTTGTAAAGATTTCACCTGAACAGACAGTTGTTAGGGGAAGCACTGTTTATATATGGAGATAATTATGGAGTGTGATAGATTGTTGTCATTCTCTTTTTCCAGTAATCTATAAAGTATCTTTTATCCTCAGGCAAAAGGTGGTTTTGATTTTAATAATATCTTTAAATTACACTTTCTTTTCATTAAAAAGTCACTGAAACATTGCTAGGTTTTTGCATTTCTGGAGAATTTATTCCAGTAATGAGTAACTTATCACCTTCCATTTTTTTCCAGTTTTTGGGAGGGATAGGTCGCATGTTTTTTTGTTGTTATCCGGAATAATATATATGACTTAAGCTACTTCAGGAATAGCTTGCTGGCTTATACCAAATCCCTTTTTTGAGGACATGTCGAAACTGAAAAGTCAGACTTAGGACATATCTACACGGTATGATGCACTGCAGTACAAAGAACTGCTCATGAGCACCAACCAAGCTGGTAGACTTACACAGCACAGCTTCAGGTGGAAGTACTAGCATGGATCTCAGAAGCAGCGTGGAAATACGAGACAGCATTCTGGCCGGTAAATCCGCTCCCTCAGTTGGGATGCACAGGTCTACCTGGCTTTTCTTTTAGTACCAGGAATGGGCGCTGCTTTTTTAAGGCCTGCCTGCACTATGATCCACTGCAGTTCTTTGGTCATTTGTAGTTCTCAAGCTGAAGAACTGCTTTTATCAGTAGACATTTTGTGAGGCCTGATACCTTTCTGAAGCTGAAGTTCAGAATCGGAGAGTCCTGTTTTCCTATTTGTGGTTTTATCTCTCTGTCTGTCTTGTACTCCCTATTGACTTCTGAATAACTGTATTCAAAGTCTGTTAGTGGACTGAAGGTATGTCACAGACTGCTTTGAAGGACTGTTGTCTACTTTCCAATTATAGGAATGCCAAACACTTTGACATTTAATCATATTAAAGCTACTTGGAGCCCTTATTTAGGGTGTTTAAAATCAGATTTCTCTGTTTATTTAGCTCAAATGTGGTTTCATTGAAGGTAGAAAACGAACTTTTGTGAAGCAAATTTTGCTTTGATGACCGAAGCTGTGTTGTTCATTTGTCTGCCTTTTTGGAATTTGAAAAAATAGAGAGGTATCAAATCATTTTAATTCTCATATGTCATTAAGTATATATTTTTTTTAAATATAATTTTGACTGAAATCTGCTGCAGTTTCTTTGGAAGTCTGTACAGCAAACACAGTGGAAATACACTTTAGGAACATGTTATCTTTTGTATGCAATTATATCATCAGAGAAGTACAGCAAATCTATAGCAATAAAAGCTGCAAGGATTTGCAGTGATCGTTACACATCTTAGGGGGTTTTGCTTAATGGCTTGCTCTGTCTGTATCTTTTATCTCCTCCCATTCCCCTGATGTCCAAACTTTTGTGTCCGTCTTATATTTTTCTGGAAATTTTGCCTGGATTGGAAGATGCTTTGCTTTCCATTGATTCCCAGCTGTCTTTTGCCTTGGTTGGGGCCACAGCTCCAGGTGGAACTCTGAAAGCTCTGAAGTGCTGGGAATGTCCACTGTTCAGTGCAGGTCAGGTGGCTTTGAATGTGCTGGGCACCTTTATGGCATATGCATAACAGGTCTGAAGCTTAGTGCACATTTAATATGGCTATACTTATATAGAAAGATGTAAATAAAGTTTGTATTTAATGTCATTACATTTCAGAACAGTATACATTGCTGCCATGTTATGTGATTCCAAAACCGACCAGATCCCTTGGTAGCTTGTTGCTGTTTTGAAGCTGAAGTATGAGTTTGACAGAAGCTTGCATTTCTTGTCATTGAGTTGTTTTGGGGCTCTTTGTTACTAATTCAGTGTACTTTGTTGAATTTTTTCAAGACAAGGTAGCATTGTGCAGCTGGAGGGCGGGGGGAGGAAAAAGTTTTTCTCTCTAGTTTGACCTTAACAAGTTGTTAATTTCCCCATGATTCTTATGCCCATATTGGTGAACCACTGCTCTACCAGCTGGATCTAAAAAGGTCTCTCAGCTTCTCTGTGGAGCAGACAAAGCCCCTTAGAAAGTCCATCCAGCTTTTTGTTTCATTTGACCTAAACACATTAGGTCAGCCTGTGTCCAAAAGAACCATTTCTAATTGGCCATCAGCTTACATGTCTCATTATTGTACCTTAGCAAGACGGAAACTTGAGGGGGCATGTCAAAGGTCAGTGAATCAAAGCAATGTCTATGTCAGCAGCCAACCTTAGGTCAGTCTTGCAGAGCTACAGTGTGTGCAGGTTTCTCTCTATATTTACCAAGCATTATTTCCTTGACATTGTTGCAAAGAGATGTAAGGTTTGGGGCCCACTGCGTTACAGACTGTTTCTCAACTGACTTTCAAACTCTTTTCTCCTTGTCTGATACCTTATGTCTGCATGCCTTTGTCTTTTTCAAGACCTATGTTACATATACATACACCTGCCAAGTCTTCTAACCTAGGTTGATGGGTCACTTTACTTCTGAAGATGAGGACTAATGTCAAAAGCAAAAGCGAAGCAAAACAAAAAAGCATCCTGCTAGGCAGCAGTTTGTTTTATACAATCTCCTGAAGGCATATTCAGTATACACAGACTCAAAGATAAAATGCAAAGCTAACTGAGCTGTGAGTTTCATCTCTCCTTGCCACTTCTACAAGTAATTGTTCTGCTACAGATAATTCTGTGAAGTATGTAAATAGAATTCCTGTTTTCATTTTCATTTGCAAAAAGCAGAATAGCCCTGTTCCTAGTGTTCCTAGAATAGAAATTTTGAGCTATATTTTTTTTTCTCCCTACATATTTCCTGGCTTTTGCATGTTTAAGTCAGACATTTTATTGAATGTGTCTGTTTGCGTGCAACATTGGTATTAGGAGGAGAGAGTGGTTGTGTACAAGCTCTGATTGACAAAGTGCAACTAAAAGTTTTATTCTAATGATGTTTTCTTTTCTGTACTTTGGTGGTTTTTTTTCCCCTAACATCAAAATTGTTAGTCAGCATTATCCTCTAGTGTCTCCTTTGTGCTCCTTACCCTTAATCAAGAATGTTCCTGGCCATGCTATTCACCTTTTCCTACCATACAGGACATTGCTGAGAATGGGTGTTCTGCAACACCGGAGGAATCTCTACCAAGGACAGCGCCTTCGCCATTGGTTGAAAAGAAGGACCCTAAATTAAGGGAAGACAGGAGACCAATCACAGTACATTTTGGTCAGGTATGTCTTAGTGTTAGGTTTCTTTAAATTGTATGACTCAGCAAAAATAGTTCAGAGAAAAGTCACAATAACGAATATGCCAGTTGCTTAATTATTTTTTGTAACTGAATTATGTTATTATAGATTTATTTCTGTTGTATCTGTTTAAATGGGGTTCTAAAACCTGATTTTTCTGGGGTTTACTGATTCCTTTTGTTCATACGATGATTTTGAGGAAAATAAATTCTAAGTGAATGGGGGGAAGCATAATTATTATAGCAATTTTATAAACTATTTTGCTGTTCTTTTAGCATGCAAAGTGCTATAGCCCTCAGGACTGAGGATGTATAATTTAAAATGTCCTCTGTTATCTAGCCAGATCATTAGTGTCAATATGGAACATCCAACTATTAAAGCATTTTAACATTCTCTGAAAATTAAATGTGATGAACTAAGATGGAAAAATCAATTAATAGCTTATTAGTGTACTCTGTATTTCAGTATTGACAACTGAGCTGTACACAGAAGTTACTCTTATGTTTCTTTTGATATGTCTGCAAAAGAGTGAGTTTCGTTGTGTCTTTCTTTAAGAGTTAGTTATTTAGAAAATGTTGTAGTTGCTGTGATTTTCATGGAAAAACATACAGTATTTACTATCAGTTTGCCAGTCTTGCCCTATTAAGTGTAGTCTGAATCAAAAAATAACATTATTTGTGTTCACAGTTGCCTTTTCTTTCTCTGTATCTATTTTTTACAGTATTATGATCAGAAAACAGAAGTGAATATCTGATTTCTTCTAAGGAAACAGTGTAATTTTAAAACGGTTGTAAAATATTGAGAATTATAAAATGTGAAGCAAATCAGATTTTTAGATAAGTATTCATAGAAACTAGTCAGTATAGCTGCATTGACTGTTTAGGTATTAGATGGGGCAACACGAGACATAATCGTTGCTCAGAGCAATGTTGTCTGTATCATTTTAGAATTAGATTTGTTTCTTTCAGAACTTTCACCACAGTGCTAAATGTAAGTTCTTGGAGAATTTTTTTTCAAACAGATTCTCTTCCAATTAAATATTTGCAGTAGTGATTTATTTTTCACTTCTGTGCCGATACAGTTGAGAGGAATCGGGGCTACTGGAGAAACATAGCCATCTAGCTCTAGCAGGAAAATGTTACATTTCATTTAAAGTAGTCAGAAATCCAGATAATATTATAATCCACTTTCAGTTTTTTCCTTTAGATGTTTATGAAGGATGGATGGTTCAAACATTTTGGTAGATTAATGAAATATATAATCGAGTGGAAAGTGCAAATTTAAATTCCTGAAGTTTTTTAAAAGTCACTTTCAAATTTTTTAATGATCACTTTCTCTATGTCGAAAGAAACACACATCAGCTTTACTGAACCACTGGCTGTGGTGAAAGGCTCGCTTGCTAAATGCTTATTACTGTCATTACATTACAAATGTCGGTTTCCAAAAAATTATCTAACTTAGCAGTTGTAGGGCTATCTCACTTACAGCCTTTGTCCTTTCACAGGTCTTTTTTTCCTGATAGCCCAGTGCCAAAATGAAAAGTAAATCATACTTTCATTCAAAAGGAAGAGATGTTCAGGTTTATGAAATATAAATTAAGGCTTTGGGGAGGAAAAAAGCAGCAACATTTACTGTTTAAATGGGGGATGGCTTCTAACTAGTGATTAAAGGGAAAGATTTTAGTGTCACTTTTAACTCTGTCTAGAATACAGTAGGTGGGAACAATTAAAAAGCCACAAGAACTCTGAAATAAGGGCTGTTTGTGCATTCACAGTTCTTATAAACTGAAGAGGATGAAAGAGGCTTTTTTCTCATTGTCACTTGCTTTCTATGTCTGCTAGTATTATGCTAGCGTATATGGCAAAGGCAGACTTTTTTAAAATGCATGCATGCGGATTAGGGTCAAGCCCTGTGTATCAGTAATGCAGTAAGCCTCGTCCATACCACTGCAGTGAGAGAGCCTACCAACAGCAGCGAGATGCTTTAATTGAGACATGCTGTCAAAGTGACAAACACATTTGCATACAGTCTATTTATTTTCGTCGGAAAGGTCTGCAGTCTGCTGTTGGTTGAACATTCTTAATCAGCTCGCTGTAAGTGAGCCGGCAGCTAGCTGTCCTATGCTAGGTGCTTCTCTTCATTACATGACAGATTAGCTAAAGGGGGATGGGCTAGGAAGCCAGCAGCAACCTTTAATTTTAACTCATTATCTCTCACCCTATAGTGAGGTAGTGTTTAGTTTTTCTAAATACAGTTGTGTATCTGCAGTTGTTAGGCTACAAAAAATATCCATAAAATATCCTGAAATGTCTTTGAATGTATAGCACCTCAGCTGATTGTTCTCAAAAATTTAGCAGCAATTATCTAACTGTACGAGATTCCGTAGTGTTGTAGCTCATCTTGGCAACTGGTTAGCAGGCATTGTTTGAGAGGGTTGTTTATTATGGAATTGTTTTAACAGTGGTTTCTGTAATACTAAGACATTGTGGGAAAGCTCTCCTTGATTGTGAAAAGAAGGATTTTAGCCAGATAGCCTAGGGCAACGCAGTAAAGATTTAAACAAAGCGTTCTTAATAAGACTACACGAGGAGACCAAAGTGGAAGGGCGTGACTACAGCTTTTTCTCCGGTTTGACTTTGCATGCTTTTTGGTTTACTCAAGGTGTACCTTTAATATTGACCCTCAGATCAACCAAATAAAAGGAACTATCATCATGGACTCTGAGGCAATACAACTGTACTCAACAAGTAGCAATAGCAATACAGGCAACTAAGGTTTAATGAATCGGGAGAAGAGGGAACTGTTTTCAAGCCAAGAAAAAGATTCAAATGAATAGTATGTAGTACTGCATAGTACTGTCTGTTTCGGGGAAAAGTAAGGTTAATTATAGTAGAAGATAAAATGCTACAGAGAACATCCTTTGTGAATGTCTCATTATTGCTTGCTTTCTTCCTGCTTTTTGTCTTAAAACCTGACCAAAACTTACTTAAAACATCGGAACACATGCTGCCATAGCTGTCCTTGGGATCCTTCCCAGTGGTGCAGGGCAGGGCAAGCACTGTGAGCCCACTAACCATTGAACAGGGCAGAGTGGGACAGCTAATACAGGTGGTGTGTGACTCGGGTGTTTGTAGTTTTTGCTTCCATGCATACACTCCCACTTTTTAGGTAGAATACACGTTTATCTTTGTCATCTTTTAGCTATTTGGAGAATAAACACTACGCTGTGTCACTGTGACTATTTTGAACACATTCCTTGTCCAAGCAAGCAGCTGTTAGGGTCTACTTTGACAGGACCCACAGCTTGAAACACTGAGGTCTGTTGTGATGCTGGATGTGTTTGTTTTGGTTTGGTTTTTTGGGGGGTGGGGTGGAGGGTGTTGTTTGGTTGTTGCTTTGTTTTTGTTGTTTGTTTGTTTGTTTTTTTAAATAATGTTCACTTTCACCTAATGGCTGCAGAAATGTTAGTTCTCTTGATTGTTCATAAGTCTTATCATTTTATGTCCAAAATAAGGAAGAATGACTGTCTGAATACAGACCTTTTCATAGTATTTTTCAGATTCTGAGTTTGCATTAGCGGTGCTTGAGTTGTGTGTTTCTGCTAGAAATTTTGGCTTCCATCACTGAACGGTTGGTGGCGAGCTACAGTGATAAGGATGCTGCACAGAGCATAATGTTAAGCAGCCTTAGATCTCTTCTGCTTTGTGATTTTCATTAACTGATTGATCTGTATTGCAGTTCAATTTTGTCTGATTTCAGAAGTATGTTGTTTGCAGAATTCTTAATATCTCTACGCCATAAACAAACATGACAATTTATAAATTGCCTTTATGCCACAAAAAAACCCCAACACAACAAAAAAACCAAAGAACGAATAAGGTGTTTTCCTTTTCTTTTTGCAAGACTGAACTATCTTGATAAGGTATTTTGGAGGGTTTGATTTTTTAAGGTTTTGGAGACAGAAGTCTCAAATATCTCATTCAAGTATTGGGTAAGTGATATCTATACATGTTATGTATGTTATAGCCAAAAAGCAGAGTCTGGGAAATGCAGGCATCTCTTTAATGATGGTGATTGTATAGCTGTTTCAGGTAACACAAGCAGCTCTCCAAAATATCTTGCTGAGATTTTAATGAGCAGCAGGCTTTCTCAGTTCTCTTATATGTATTTTTTTTCCATTATCTAAAGCAAAAGAAACAAAACAAAACTCCTTTATAATGTATAAATTGATGATTTTGCTAAGGGAGAAAGGTAGATTAATATCTGAATCTGATATTTTAGAAGCCTTTTCCCTCCAGAAGATGCTTTTTGGTTTACTCAAGGTGTACCTTTAATATTGACCCTCAGATCAACCAAATAAAAGGAACTATCATCATGGACTCTGAGGCAATACAACTGTACTCAACAAGTAGCAATAGCAATACAGGCAACTAAGGTTTAATGAATCGGGAGAAGAGGGAACTGTTTTCAAGCCAAGAAAAAGATTCAAATGAATAGTATGTAGTACTGCATAGTACTGTCTGTTTCGGGGAAAAGTAAGGTTAATTATAGTAGAAGATAAAATGCTACAGAGAACATCCTTTGTGAATGTCTCATTATTGCTTGCTTTCTTCCTGCTTTTTGTCTTAAAACCTGACCAAAACTTACTTAAAACATCGGAACACATGCTGCCATAGCTGTCCTTGGGATCCTTCCCAGTGGTGCAGGGCAGGGCAAGCACTGTGAGCCCACTAACCATTGAACAGGGCAGAGTGGGACAGCTAATACAGGTGGTGTGTGACTCGGGTGTTTGTAGTTTTTGCTTCCATGCATACACTCCCACTTTTTAGGTAGAATACACGTTTATCTTTGTCATCTTTTAGCTATTTGGAGAATAAACACTACGCTGTGTCACTGTGACTATTTTGAACACATTCCTTGTCCAAGCAAGCAGCTGTTAGGGTCTACTTTGACAGGACCCACAGCTTGAAACACTGAGGTCTGTT